TTTCTGCTGAGAGATCTGCTGTGAGTCTGATGGGCTTCCCTTTGTGGGTAACCCGACCTTTCTCTCTGGCTGCCCTTAGCATTTTCTCCTTCATTTCAACCCTGGTGAATCTGACAATTATGTGCCTTGGGGTTGCTCTTCTTGAGGAATATCTTTGTGGTGTTCTCTGTATTGCCTGGAGTTGAATATTGTCCTGCCTTGCTAGGTTGGGAAAGTTTTCCGAATAATATCCTGAAGAATATTTTCCAGCTTGGATTCATTCTCTTCATCACATTCAGGTACACCTATCAAATGTAGATTAGGTCTTTTCACATAGTCCCATATTTCTTGGAGACTTTGCTCATTCCTTTTTACGCTTTTTTCTCTAATCTCGTCTTCTCGTTTTATTTCATTGAGTTGGTCTTTGACCTCTGATATCCTTTCTTCTGCTTGGTCAATTCGACTGTTAAAACTTGTGCAATACTTCGTGAAGTTCTCATATTGTGTTTTTCAGCTCCATTAATTCACTTATATTCCTCTCTAAATTATCTATTCTCATTAGCATTTTGTCAAACCTTTTTTCAAGGTTCTTAGTTTCTTTGCATTGGATTAGAATGTGTTCTTTTAGCTCACAGAAGTTTCTTATTATCCACCTTCCGAAGCCTGATTCTGACAATTCATCACACTAATTCTCCATCAGGCCTTCTTTCCTTGCTGATGAGGAGCTGCGATCCCCTGAAGGAGGAGAGGCATTCTGATTTTGGGTGTTTTCAGCCTTTTTGCACTGGTTTCTTCCCATCTTTATGGATTTATCCACCTGTTGTCTGTCCAGCTTGTTGGTGGTAATGTTATTTCTGTTTCTTTGTTTTCCTTCGGCAGATGCCCATCCCCCACAGAGCTGGACCTTCCCGGGTTCAGCTGTGCTTGCTGTGAAACTCTTAACTATAAGCATTTCCAATTGCTGTTTTTTTGTGGGGGTGGGACCAGCTGAGCCCGATCAGCTGGCTCCCCACCTCGGCACCCCTTTTTTATTCTTTTCCTAATTGAACTGTCGATTCCCTCCAAGGTGCCCCAGTCGCCCACCGAAAAGGCACCGGGATCTATGCAATTTCCCGTGCAGCGACTGCGCAGGCTGAAACAGCAGCGCTGAGATTCGTGGTGCTTTTCTGCCCAGGAATCTCCCAGTCTGGCTCCCCGTTTCAGTCCCCTTTTCAATCAGCTGAATGGGCAACACTGCCTTCCCGGAGCTCCAAACACCAACTAAAAGGGCACCCAGTCCCACATACTTCGCACTGAGAACCACTGTGCCCGGATGCTGGCAAAACAGCCGCACCGGCCAAAAGAGTCATGCTGGCGACCCGTGGGGCTCCTCCGCTGGGAATCTCCTGGTCCGTGGGCAACAAAAATTGGTCTGGAAGTCTGGCATCCACTCATTCCCTGCACCTTCACTGGGAGCTGCAATTCTGAGCTGCTGCTAGTCGGCCATCTTGGATCTCTCTCTAAGAAAGGTTGTTTTTTTTTAATTTTTTTTTTTTTTTTTTTTTTTAATAGAGACAGGATCTTGCTGTGTTGTCTAGTCTGGTCTCGAAATCCTGAGCTCAAGCCATCCTCCTGCCTCAGTCTTCCAAAGTGTTGGGATTACAGGTGTAAGCCACCACACCTGGCCCAATAAAGCTTTTTTTTTTCTTTTCTTTTTTTTTTTTTGAGATGGAGTTTCACTTTTGTTGTCCAGGCTGGAGTATGATGGCAGGATCTCGGCTCACTGCAACCTCTGCCTCCCGGGTTCAAAGGATTCTCCTGCCTCAGCCTCCCGAGTAGCTGGGATTATAGGCATGTGCCACCATGCCGGGCTAATTTTGTATTTTTAGTAGAGATGGGGTTTATTCTCCAGGTTGGTCAGGCTGGTCTTGAACTCCCAACCTCAGGTGATCCGCTTTTATGGGCATAGGTGGCTTGAGACTGGCTCAGATTTCTCTAGGCAAAAGGAGGAAACAGGGCTTTCCAGATGAAGGGAAATTGTAGACCCAAGACGACTCTGGCCTGGCCTCTGTAGAGGTTTGGACCTGGAAATTGTAGAAACCAGATTGTCTGGGAAAGTTAGACCCAAATCATGGTTGCATTTGAAAATCAGGCAGTGCAGTTGGGTCGGTTGTGAGACACCAAAGGGGTTTATTAGTGGTTTCGGAGCAAGAAAGCAACATGATAAAAATAGCATTTGAGGAAGGCTAGACAGGATTTAAAAGAGCACATCAGGGAGGTCAGCCTGAAGGACCTAGATTAAGAGTATCTAGGGAATTTGAGTTAATGATGCTTATGGATTCATTAAAATAATTTTTTCATTATAAAAATCTCTTTTTTTAGTAATGAAAATTTCAAACGTTCACAAGAGAATAGTATAATGAATTCTCATATACCACCACCCAGATTCCAAGGTTTTATCAAGATTTTGTCATGTCTACTTTATCCATGCTCTCCCTGTCTCTTCTTAAGCATTTGAAAACAAATCCAGGACTTCCTGATATTTCACAGGGGCCTTTTTTTTTTGAGATGGAGTCTCCCTCCTGTCATGCAGGCTGGAGTGCAGTGGCAAGATCTCAGCTCACTGTAAATTCCACTTCCCAGGTCCAAGCAATTCCCCTCCTGAGTAGCTGGGATTACAGGTGTGCACCACCATGCCCAGCTAATTTTTGTACTTTTAGTAAAGACGGCATTTTGCCGTGTTGGCTAGGCTGGTCTCGAACTCCTAACCTCAGGTGATCCACCAGCCTTGGCTTCCCAAAGTGCTAGGCTTTTTTTTTTTTTTTTTGAGACAGAGTGTTACTCTGTCACCCAGACTGGAGTGCAGTGGTGTGATCCTGGCTCATTGCAACCTCCACCTCCCAGGTTCAAGCAATTCTACTGCCTCAGCTTCCTGAGTGTCTGGGATTACAGGCACTCGCCATCACGCCTGGCTCATTTTTGCATTTTTAGTAGAGATGGGGTTTCACTGTGTTGGTCAGGTTGGTCTCAAACTCCTGACTTCAGGTGATCTGCCTGCCTCCTTGGCCTCCCAGTGCGGGGATTACAGGTATGAGCCACTGTGCGTGGCCTGGCCTGGCCTTTTTTTTTTTTTTTTTTTTTTTTTTTTTTCTGAGACAGATTCTGCCTCTGACACCCAGTCTAGAATGCAGTGGTGACATCATAGCTCCCTGTAACCTAGAACTCCTGGGCTCAAGGAATCCTCTGGCCTCAGCCTCCAGAGCAGCTAAGACTCTAGGCACATGCTACCACATCCAGCTAGCTAAAAAAAACTTTTTGGCTGGGTGTGGTGGCTCATGCCTGAAGTCCCAGCATTTTTGGGTGGCCAAGGTGGGCAGTACATGAGGTCAGGGGTTCGAGACCAGCATGGCCAACATGGCAAAACCCCATCTCTACTAAAACTATAAAAATTAGTCGGGCGTGGTAGTGGGTGCCTGTAATCCCAGCTGCTCTGGTGGCTGAGGCAGGAGAACTGCTTGAGCCCGGGAGGCAGAGGTTGCAGTCAGCCGAGATCATGTCACTGCACCCAGCATGGGCGACAGAGCAAAACCCTGTCTCTACAAAAGAAAAAAAGATTGTTTTTTTTGAGACAGGGTATTGCTATCTGCCCAGACTGGTCTGGAACTCCTGGGCTCAAGCAAGTCTCTCACTTCACTCTCCCAAAGTGCTGGGATTATAAGGTGTGAGCCACCATGCCTGGCCACAGGGGGCCTTTTAAAAGAAGAAAGTCAACATAATCTGATGGCTGACTAGAACTAAAAGGAGAAAAATGAGGCTGGGTGTGGCGGCTCACACCTATACTTCCAGCACTTTAGGAGGCCAATGCAGGAGAATCTCTTGAGCCCAGGAGTTCAAGGTTGCAGTAAGCTATGATCATGCCACTGCACTCCAGGTATGAGCCACCACACCTGGCCAAGACCTTGTCTCTTAAAAAACAAAAAACAAAAAACAAAAAAAAACCGCGGCTGGGCATGGTGGCTGCCGCCTGTAATCCCAGTACTTTGGGAGGCCAAGGCAGGCAGATCAGAAGGTCAGGAGTCCGAGATCAGCCTGGCCAATATGGTGAAACTCTGCCTCTACCAAAAATACAAAAATTAGCTGGGCATGGTATGCACCTTTAATCCTAGCTACTTGGGAGGCTGAGGCAGGAGAATCGCTTGAACCCGGGAGGTGGAGGTTGCAGTGAGTGAGATTGTGCCACTGCACTCCAGCCTAGGTGACAGAGCGAGACTTTGTCTAAAAAAAAAAAAACAAAAAAAAAAACAGACACAAACTGCTCCCCTCCAGTGGCTCAAGCTCAAGCTCTGGTGATTAGAAAGGTGAGAAGGGAACCAGGAGACACTGTGTCCTGGAAACCAAGAAGGAGAAGTATTTAGAGGATGGTAATTGACAGTGGCAAATGCAGCAGATCAACAAGGGAAAGGATAGAGGGAAAAACGCAGGTTTGGGCACTAAGGAAATCAGCAGGCAAGACATTTGCAGTCATGTTAAGGACATTAGTGAGCTATAGCAGAAGGTTAGGAAGGAGTGTACAGGAAGGAAACAGATGGGCCGGGCACAGTGGCTCATGCCTGTAATCCCAGCATTTTAGGAGGCCAAGGTGGGAGGATCACTTGAGGCCAGGAGTTTGAGACCAGCCTGGGTGACATAGTGAAACACCGTCTCTACCAAAAATACAAAACTTAGCTGGGCATGGTGGCACATGTTTTGTAGTGTAGTCTGAGCTGCTCAGGAGGCTGAGGTGGGAGGATAACTTGGGCCTAGGAGGTCGAGGCTGCAGTGAGCCGAGATCATGCCACTGCATTCCAGCCTGGGCAACAGCCAGACCCTGTCTCCAAAAATAAAAAAATAAAATAGAAAGTATACCTAAAGCGGGGTGGGGATTGTGTGTGAGGGAAAGAAGCAGTGCTGGAAGGGCTGGAAATGGTTGGGGATGAAACGTCTCTGGCAGCTGTGTGCCTCCCAAGGACAGGCTGTTCAGTCGGTGTCTTCCTTGGTTCCAGGGTCCTGTGCTTGGATTGTGGGGAACAGACTCCCCGGGTGGTGCTGCAGGAACGCTTCCAAGTCCTGAACCCCACCTGGAGTGCGGAGGCCCATGGTCTGGCTCCCGATGGTGACGTCTTTCTCTCAGAGGAGCAAGTCCAGAGCTTTCAGGTCCCATCCTGTGTTCAATGTGGAGGCCGTCTGAAACCAGATGTCGTTTTCTTCGGAGACACAGTGAACCCTGACAAGGTTGATTTTGTGCACAAGCGTGTAAAAGAAGCTGACTCCCTCTTGGTGGTGGGATCATCCTTGCAGGTATCTGAGTTGGCTAGAGTGGTAACTACCCCTTGTGTGGAATTGGAAGTCCCGGAGAGACGCCCCTGTTTGGTTTAATTTTTTTCTTTTTTTTTTTTTTGAGAGGGAGTCTCGCTCTCGCTCTGTCACCCAGGCTGGAGTGCAATGGTGCCATCTCAGCTCACTGCAACCTCCGCCTCCCAGGTTCAAGCAATTCTTGCTTCAGCCTCCCAAGTAGCTGGGATTACAGGCACCTAGCACCACACCCGGCTAATTTTTGTATTTTTAGTAGAGACAGGATTTTACCATCATGGCCAGGCTGGTCTCAAACTCCTGCCCTCATGATCTGCCTGCTTCAGCTTCCCAAACTGCTGGGATTACAGGCGTGAGCCACCGTGCCTGGCTAGTTTAACTTTTTCTAGATCTGGAGAACCTATACATTCTTATGTGTGTCTTTTCCTGTGCAGGTGTACTCTGGTTACAGGTTTATCCTCACTGCCCAGGAGAAGAAGCTGCCAATTGCAATACTGAACATTGGGCCCACACGGTCAGATGACTTGGCATGTCTGAAACTGAATTCTCGTTGTGGAGAGTTGCTGCCTTTGATAGACCCACACTGACTACAACCTGATGTTCCAGAATGTGGAACAGGGACTTTGACTTGAATCTTGCTGCTAAAGGTAAATGCCTTCTCAGATAATGGATTCCAGTTCCCATTTGACAGAGTAGGGTACATTGAGAAAATATAGAAGGTTCTAGGTATCTTAATGTGTGACTGTTCTTAATTAAACCATTTTTTAACATTTTTGGCTTTGTATGAAATGCTTCATGAATTTGTGTGTCATCCTTGCACAGGGGTCATGCTAATTTTCTCCATATTGTTCCAATTTAAGCATATGTGCTGCTGAAGGGATCACTAAAATTTATTTTTGAGACAGGGTCTGGCTCTGTCACCTAGGCTGAAGTGCAATGGCCTGACCTTGGCTCACTGCAACTTCTGCCTCCCAGGTTCAAGCCATCCTTCCACCTCTGTCTCCCAAGTAGCTGGAACTATAGGTGTGCACCACCATGCCCAGCTAATATTTTGTATTTTTTGTAGAGACAGGTCTCACTTTGTCACCCAGGCTGGTCTTGAACTCCTGAGCTCAAGCCATCTGCCCGCCTTAGCCTCCCAAAGTGCTGAGATTACAGGCATGAGCTACCATGTCCAGCCAGAACTATTTTTTTTTAAGTCAGAGTCTTGCTCCATTTCCCAAGGCTGGAGTGCAATGGCACGATCTCGGCTCACTGCAACCTCTGTTTCCTGGGTTCAAGTGATTCTTCTGCCTCAGTTTCCTGAGTAGACGGGACTACAGGCACATGCCACCACACCTGGCTAATTTTTGTATTTTTAGTAGAGGTGGGGTTTCACCATATTGGCCAGGCTGGTCTCGAACTCCTGATCTTGTGATCCACCTGCCTCGGCCTCCCAAAGTGCTGGGATTACAGGTGTGAGCCACCGTGCCCAGCTGATAAAATATTTGTATGTAATATTCAGCCCATATTCAAACGTCCCAGTAGTCCCAATAATTTCCTTGGTAAGTTTGCTCATGATTCAGAATCTAATCCTGGTTCAGATACTACATTTAGTTATCACGTCTCTTTAGCTGCTCTTAATCTAGGACAGTTCCTCAGACTTTGTCTTTCAGAGCATGCTGAAGAATCCAGGTGAATTGTTTTGCAGGTTGTGTTTGTATTTGTCTGTTTTCCTATTATTACATTCTAGATAAACATTTTTAACAGAAATACAACATAGAGGTTGGGCATGGTGCCTGTAATGCCACCACTTTGGGAAGCTGTGGTGGGCAGATCACTTGAGGCCAGGAGCTTGAGACCTGACTGTCCAAAATAATGAAACCCTGTCTCTACTAAAAATACAAAAATTAGCCGGGGGCGGTGGTGGCACACGCCTGTAATCCCAGCTGAAGTAGGGGGCTAAAGCGAGAGAACGGCTTGATCCTGGGAGGAAGAGGTTGCAGTGGGCCTGGGTTGTGCCACTGCACTCCAGCCTGGGCTACAGAGTGAGACCCTGTCTCGAAAAAAAAAAAAATACAAAATAGGTATAAAATAGATTAAAGTATCAGGAAGTGTGAAAAATGAAGAAAAATAGAGGGAAAATTGTTCTACCTCTCAATTTTAGCACATTTCAAACATATACAAAAACAGAACAGTGTACAGGAAATGTACACTATTCTATTTTTGTATCTGTTTTTGTATATGTAAATATCCCTGTGTCCCCATCACCAGGCTTTAGTAACAGCACATGGACAATTGTCTCATCTCTATCCCCCCTACTTCTCACACTCCTGCCACTAGATTATTTTAAAGCAAATACCAAACATTATTTTATTCCATTTATAGATACTTTAATATGTATCTCTCTTAATTACAATATTATAATCACATTAAAAATTAAAAATATCACTGCCAAAAATCATTGTTGAAAAAAAATAAAAATAATTCTATAACATCATCAAATATTCCCACAGTTTAGGATTTCCCTGGATTATCTCTCTTTTTTTTTTTTTTTTTTTTTTTTGAGATGGAGTTTTGCTCCATCTCCCAGCGTGGCGTACAATGGTGCAATCTCAGCTCACTTCAATCTCCCCCTCCTAGGTTCAATCGATTCTCCTGCCTCAGCCTCTTGAGTAGCTGGGATTACAGACATGTACCACCATACCTGGCTAGTTTTGTATTTTTAGCAGAGACAGGGCTTTACCATGTTGGCTAGGCTGGTCTTGAACTCCTAACTTTAAGTGACCCACCTACCTCGGCCTCCCAAAGTGCTGGGATTACAGGCGCAAGCCACCATGCCCAGCCTGGAGCAGTTTTTAGGTTGATGGTGAAATCAAGCAGATGTTACAGAGTTCTCATATGCCGTGCTCCTACACAGCCACACAAGATTTACCCATTCACCTACTGAAGGACATCTTGTTTGCTTCCAAGTTTTGGCAATTATGAATAAAGGTGCTGTAAATATCCATGTTCAGGTTTCTATGGACTCATGGATAAATAGCAAGGAGCCTCCAATTGTTGGATCTTATAGTGAAAGTATGTTTAGTTTTGTAACATACCGTCAAACTGTCTTCCATATCATTTTGCATCTCCACCACCAATGAATGAGAATTTCTGTCCAACCTTCATTTTTTTTTTTTTTTTTTTTTTTTTTTA